CTTTGCTGCTGCTGCTGCTGCTGCAGTGCAGCGCGCAGTAAACGCGAAAATGAGGCCTTGGCGAGCTCTACACACACCCGGGAGGCCCCTGCTTCCCCGCAGCAGCAGCAGCAGCAGCAGCAGCTTTCTAGGGGGCCTTGAAGACGTGGCTGCGCGCAGCAGCGGGAAGCGGCTGTTTGCTGCTGCAGCGCAGCACGGCGCAGCAACAGCTTCGCTGTCCTGTGCTGCAGCAGGACAAGACGACGAGTTCAGCAGCTGCAGCAGCGGGCTGAGCGACAGCAGCGACGACGGCGCCGGCAGCAGCAGCAAAAGCGTGCGCAGCCTCGGAAGCCGCAGCAGCTGCAGCAGAAGCAGCAGCAGCAGCAGAAACAGCTCCCCCACCCCTCGCGGGGACAGCCCAGGGGATCGGCAGCTGTCAGTCCCAGCAAGTGTAGCAGCAAGTACAGCTCCTTCTGCTGCTCTTTGTGTCGACAGTTTGCAGGCGCCTCTTGGCGCTGCTGCTGCTGATGCTGCTGCTGCTGCTGCTGCCGCTGATGGCGCCCCCTGGCTGCTGCAGGGCAAGCTCAAGGCGGAGTCCAGCGGCAGCAGCGGAGCCCCAGGCGCCTCCTCTACTGCAAATAGCGGCAGCAGCGAAGTAGCAGCAGCAGCAGCAGCTCCTGCTGCAGCGGCAGCTGCTGCGGAGCCCGCCGCGCCGGCCGCAGCGCCAGCAGCAGCAGCTTCAGCTGCTGCCTCTGCTGCAGCAAGCTGCAGCGGCGGCAGCAGCAGCAGCTTTGCTCCGGCTGTGGGGAAGGAGGTGGCGGCTGTGGGGTGTCTCGACCGTCCAGCCATCGCCGCTGCAGGAGCGCCTTCGCGAGGCAGCAGCAGCATAAGCAGCACGCAGCAGCAGCAGCAGCAGCAGCAGCAGCAGCAGCAGCAGCAGGTGACGTCTTCAGCGCAGCCTTTCCAGACGCCGCGTTCTTCGGTGTCCCCTCAGAGCGCGCCGAGTGTTTTGCGGCCGTCCGGGAGCGGCGCAGCAGCAGCAGCAGCAGCAGTGGCTGCGGAGGCAGCGGGGATGGCGGCTGCTGCAGCGGAGACGGCGGCGACAGCAGCGGCAGCAGCAGCAGCAGCAGCAGCGCCGCAGCGAGCTGGCAGCAGCGTGGAGGCTTCGAACGCGTCCTGCGGGTCGCGGCTGCTGAGCTTCTCGAGCGAGGGGCTGCAGGCGGTCCCGGGCGTGCTGCAGCAGCAGCAGCTGCTGCTGCAGCAGGGGGAGGCGCAGAGCAGCAGAAGCAGCAGCAGCGCGAGCAGCCCGTCGCGGCTGTACAGGTGGCACGCCGGCGGCTGCGCCGTGTGGACCGTGGGCAGCAGCAGCAGCGCAGCAAGAAGCAGCAGCACGCACTGCGAGATGATGCAGGCTTTGCGGAAGCAAGCAGACTTGAAAGCTTCTGTCGACAAAGCTGTGCTGCTGTTCAACAAAGAAGGTCTTGCTGCTGCGCTGCAGTGGCTCGCCGACCGCAGGCTCATCGAGGCCCAAGACCCTGCTGCTGTCGCGCGCTTCCTCTACGACACCCCCGGACTCGACAAGAAAAAGGTGTCTTGCTGCTGCCGTCTTGCTGCTGCTGCTGCTGTAGCGTTGCTGCCGCTG